TTAATAAATCTGCATATGGAAGTTTTGAGATGACAATGGAGCTTGTATTGTATTGCACTGGTTATTAATTGTGTCATATTAAAACCATTTGTATAGTCCCAGACATCACCAGTTAAGAAATAGAAAACATAGACCGTATTTCTATCGAGTTATAGAAACTCGAGTGGTAGTTTGGAAGAACGAGAAATACTGTGGAAACACTCGCCTGCGGCTCATGTTTCCACAGTCTTTTCGAGTTCTCCCAAACTTTCACGAGTGTTTCTATAACTCGATAGAAACACGGAGAACATGTTTCGTATTTCTCTTGGAAAACACCGCGACGAAAAAAAAGGAAAACAACTTCTTAAATTTGATTGTCAAAGTGTAAATTTCCTTTGCTCGCGCCATCATTGCGTCAACAGCTCGTGCTAGTTCTGTTTTTCCATCGAGTTATAGAAACACGATTTTTAACCAGTCAACGCGCGTATTTTCTTAGGACTGTTTTCTAACGTTTTATATTATATGTCGTATTGTTCTCGCGTTTTGATTCGTTCTTACGCATGATCTATTGGAGCACAGACGTATAGATAAAGTCCTTAAATTTTCAGTTTCGTTTCTTTGTTTTATAAAAAAAATCGATTCTACGTTGGCATGCGTCTGTTCAATAATACATCACNAAAAAAAATCGATTCTACGTTGGCATGCGTCTGTTCAATAATAGATCACAGATGACGTCAAACTATGGAAAGAACATCAGTGACACACTCACCTAACGGTTCGTGTGCCGCTTTTTTGTTCTAGCCCTTACCACATTTTGACTTCATCTGTGATGTATTTTACTGAACAGACGCACAGCAATATAGAATATATTTGTTAAAGTGATGAAGATGCCGAAGAACTGAACGAGGACTGTAATTCAATGACTGGAGCACTATCCAAGGCGTGCATTCATTGTAATACTATTTTCATGAGGCCTTTGATTAAAGACGACCAGTAACCTGGGAAAGTCAATGACTGAAAACTTATCATTGGAAATTCAATCTATCCATCTATAAATCTATGAAT